CCGCCAGGCTGTTAGTTAAAAGAATGCAGTTTTTCAGTTTAAAACAAGAAATATCCAAATAAGTAAACTTGAAATGTAGTAAGTACTTTTAAATTTAGTTTGGTAAATAAATAAATAAAATACTAAAAATCCTTTGGAACATTTTTACTGGCATTATGTTGTATATCATGTAAATAAGGGCTCTCGAAACTTCGATCCCCAAGGCTTGCCCTATTTCATCGGGTTACTCCTCGTGGCTTTTTTTTGATGGGGAATCTGCCAGTCGCTTTTGTTTCTCCCTCTATTGCCGTTCTAATGGCGTGCTTGGCGTTGTTATGTGACCTTCGTTACGTGTTGGCAAGTTCATTTTTAGCGCGCCAAGCTAACTCACAGACACACAAGTAGTTGCAAGTGATTCAGAATGTTCGGGATGTGTGTGTGTGTGCGTGTGTGTCAGTTGCACACGCCCCATTATGTGCCCTATACGCTTTAAACATGAACTTCGTGTATATTCTTCGACACGGGCAAAAATGTATGTATAAATATGAAAATAAATAAGCTTGTGTGTCAGCGGAGGACTTATTCCACACAAGAGCAGCTTGCACTCACGCACAGTGCTGGTCAGGCTAATAGTGCACTGCTTTTATGGCAGCTCCTTTAAAAGCTTTTATTAAATTACTGTAATTATTAATGATAATTATGTATTTATAATCCTGACAATAGTTTTACAGATAAAAATGTTATAATTTTATATACTCATTAAAAGTGTTATTCTCCGGGCCGCATCTGTACGAAAACACACACTGGGTCCCTATGTGTGCATACTTATCTGTCTGAGTGTCGCTCGTTTGCGAGATACAACCTAATTTACCCGCGTCTTCATTTTTCATGCATGCTAATGTGTAATATTTTGACAGGCAAGCTCTCTACCGCCACCACTGCAGCCCACTGACACCACCCACTTGGAAAATGCCACCCACCTAAGCCAGCACCTCTGATGGCCCACAAAGTCAGACAGGCTGTCTAGGCTGTTTACAGCTGTGTATTATGGCAACATGACTTTGGCATTTCCCACCCTCCACCTATTTTCCCTGGTCGTTACCTCTTTTTGCGCTTTTCCCCGGCTTACCCGCTTCCCTCATTTTCTCCCCTTTCACCGCATTCCCACTTTGTATGCAAATGTGTTTGGCTTATGCTCGTGCTTAAGTCAAATTTATGGGGAATAACTTTCGGTTAGTATTTTGACCAATTGTACGACAAATGTTTATTAATTGCGGTGGCCATTGCAGAAGTCCTGGGCTCTTTGCGTATTTACATTATTATTGTTATCAAGTGCATTGGGTATATAGGGGAGGAGCGACGGATAACCGACTTTGATTACTGATCAGTAGTTTAAGGAACTACTACAATGGTGCCTTGATCACCCTTTAGGGTACAGTCTCAAGATTTTTAAGCCATGCAGGATTTCTGTGACAAATTCGGGCAACAGGTAACCATAAGCAGAAACTTTTCTCATTTAATATTTGGCAAAGATCTGGTTCGGGCTCCAACTTTCCGCCAGTTTAATGTATACACAGATGCCATATGCACCATGTACATATACAAGGCGGTCATATGCAGTATTTCGAGAGTATGTGGTATATCGCATGTGTGCAGTCTTTTCCTGCTCCTTCTCCAGTTTGCACAACTGCCGGCGGCAAAGTTTTTTGGCATGCTGTGAACGGCTGACGGAAATTTCAATAGTTTTACAGCGAAATTTGCTTAATCCGGGAGACCGCCGGAGCGGTTGCACCCGGAATCTTGAGCCGGGGTCCTGGAGGCGTGGATCTGGGAGATGAAGAGCCTGGTGAGGGAATGCATTGTAGGTGGCGACACACTGACAGAGTGACGGGTTGAGGATGACGGCGCGGATTTCTCGAGGGCTTCTGTAAGTCCCGGCTTAAGCCATTTCATTCCATTTTCACTTCAACATCCATTGCATCCATTTTCATTTCATTCCATTCTTCGATCCGTCATCACAGTTCGACAAGATGGAATTCAATTGTATTGTCATGTGTGGATGGGCGATGCGGTGGGTGAGTCCTTGGTGCCCGCTTTTTCATTCTGAATTTCATTTTCATTTGCAGCCGCAGTGTCACCAGAGAAAAAAAGAGACAGAAGGATAAGACTGCACTACACAGAGGAGCTACCGCTCTGCCTTTATTAAAATCTAAATCATATATAATAGATGCAAAAGTGCCAAAAAATCCCTCACTTTCAGGCTCATCCTTTCAGCTCTATCCTAAGCCTAAACCATATTTTTCACTCTGTCGAAGAACTGCCCGTCTGAGCAAAGTCGTCTGCTTAGGAAAATAAGCCACCTGTTCGAGATCACCAGAAGGTGAATATGGAAAGCTTGTAAGAAAGTCAACTTTGTGCCGAGCTTGTTTCATTGTTTAGCCCACTTCTCAAAGCGCAAGAAAACAGTTGAAGAATGAATGATTGTAGTATAGACCATTACCTCAGTGGCAATGTCTACATTGCAAGCAGCATAAATCAGAAATTTCTAAGGTGTAGAGCGTGTACAGAAAAGATGGTCGTCAGAGAGCTCTTAAACTTAATTAACGTAATGAGTGACCTAAAAATGTCAGCATATGAACGCTTTTAGCGTTGTCCCCGTGTCGAATGCATCGACTCTCCCCCATTCCAACATTTTTTCTTTGCAATCGATTCACTTTCTCTCACTCTCACTCCACGAAACGAGTGTCCTGAGCCGGGAAAGAATAAAGAAAAACATAAAACGAGATTATTCAAATCGAAGGCCTTGATAGCAAATGCATGCGGTGGCGGCAATCACATTGACTTGCGCCCTCATGCATATGGATGCGAGCTCGACGTATTTGTTTATGCGCCCGCCATCTTGATCCAACACGAGCGCAAGCACATCTGTTTATTTATGAGTTGTGAGGGCCGCCTTCACCACCACCTTCCGCCTGCGACCCCTTTCACAGCAAGCCCGCTGCTCGGATTAACCGCATCCCTGCCAATGTAAAGGCACTTTGTGCGAACTGTGCAATACATACATCCATATACGCATCGAATGGGGGTATACCCAGCGCACATTTATATGGCCATTTTCCCAATATGTCAGACAGGGCAAAGAACTTGAAAGTTCATTTCAGCATACATCTAAGTATATGACTCTTTCAAAAGGATAGCTACTAAACTAACCTAAGAGATCTGAAAATAAAATAATTTATTTAGATGAGAAATATTTTGAACTTTGCCCAAAAAGTTATTTTTAGTATAAAATTTGGACATACCGCAACTTGACTTTAGAGATCGTCATGAATACATTTGGGACATGCCTCCTGTGGTTATTGGCGTAATAGTCACAAGCTATCTACTGGTTTCTTTAGAACATATCGAAGATATTTCCCCATCTAAACATCACACAATCTATCCATGATAGATTCGAAAAGTTAATGATCATTTACCCTTGCAATTATGCTGTATTATATTTTAATGATGTACTCGTATTATTTAGATATACGAATCAGCCAAATGCCAATGTGTTGTGATATTTTAAGACGTATATAAGTTAACAATGCAACTGTGATCTGAGCTAAGAACACGACAACGGACAGCACACGAAGTCTTACGACGGGCGCTGGCCGACGGCCTTCCTCTGAGTCGGGTGTTTTCATCTTTGTCAACCGCCGCGACAGTATAGCTGAAGCTAAGACCCTGCTATCAGCTTACGAGAGGAAGGGCGGTAGCACCATAGTCACCGACCGTGGCCACCACCCGGCCCCGGCCTCGACCCGGCTACCAGGTTACAAGAAGAAGTTCAGCAGCATCAACGTCACTGATCGTGGCCACCACCAGGTCTTGATCGGTGCTCTGCAGCGCCACCTGACTGCAGAGACGCCTACCGAGTGACCGACCGTTGTGGGCAGCAACTTTCCGCAACGGTACATCAGAACTAACAGATCCGTGAGCAGCACGTGCCACGGCGTAACTGCCTGCAAGACTTGTGCAGGCGGAGAATATTGTGGCCAAACACGCCGCCACAATATTCCATAACCTCATCTTATATCGGGAATAGTTATTAGATTATTTTGAAATCAAAGACAGATTTTTGAAAACTTGCGTTGTCTGAGCTAAAGGCGAACTATCAGCAACAGCTGAGGGGGTATATAATAAAAAATTTTTTTTTATTTTAAAAAAAATATTTTTATATATAATTTTTTTTTTTTTTAAATTTTATTTATTTAAATTATTTTTTTTTTATGGGATAATTATTTTTAAATTTTATAATTAAAAAAAATAAAAAAAAAAAAAAAAAAAAAAAAATAAAAAAAAAAAAAAAAAAATATAATTATTTTTAAAACAAAAATTATAAAATTATTTTTTTTTATATATATAAAATTATTTTTTTTTATAAGTGTTATATCGTATATTTTATTCTTATTGAAAACTCAATTACATTTTTATGGTGAAAGAAGAAGAAGTAATAAACAGGGATGTATTTTCAAAATGATAACTATCGCAAACTAAAAACTATCGATTATTCATTAATGTGATTCCTTTAACTTAATACATAACAATACTTCCCCCTCTTAGGGTGATGATGAAAATATAATTCTTGGTTGTCGTATGCGGGATGATCGTCGTAGGGTTGGTTTTGTGTCCACCTGCACCTGTGGTGTAGACGAATCCATTTGTGGTGCTTGTTGAGTTTGCTCCAGTGCATCCCTATGATCCAGTGATGGCGAAGTTATTGGAGTGCTGAAAATGTCATCATTATCTTCTTCATTGGTGGTACTCTCAATATCTCGGTGGACTGTATCACTTGAAGATCCCGAAACTGCGTCTTTGTCTTCGGAAGAGTATTCCAGTAATTTGCTCTCCCTCTCGCGGATGAATCCTTTTGCACCTTGTGAGATGCAACCTCGCATTTGGTTGATATGTCTTTTGAAGAGTTTTCCATTGTATAATATTTCATAATGAAGATCTCCGAGACGCTTTGTAATTTTTTCCTTGCACCCATTTGTCCATTCGAGGGTTTCCGGATAAAAAGTAAACTTCATCGTGCGAATGGAACTGTCTATATGAAGGGTTGAAGTTCATGACTCGTTTTGCGGAAACTTTCTCTGTTACATTTTCTGGACGGATTAAATCAAGTCGGGTACGCAATTTTCTGCCCAAAAACAATTTTGCCGGAGGCTCTCCGGTAGTGCAGTGTGGAGCATTTCGGTATTGTTGTAAGAATTCGTTCAGGTCTCTTCTCATTGTGTCCGAAGATGTTCTCATTGCTTTTAATGCCTGTTTTACTGTTTGCACATTTCGTTCGGCTTGCCCGTTTGTGGCAGGATGATATGGCGCCGTTAATTTGTGATATCTGATTCCCGCAGATGTAAGGTAGTTTTTAAATTCTTTTGACGTGAAGTTTGTTCCATTATCCGTAACCAGCATCAGTGGGACTCCGTAAGTTGCAAATAATTCGTCTAAGATGGCGATCGTTGCACCTGCCGTAATTGTTTTCGTTACCTTCACCTCTAACCATTTTGAGTAGGCATCAGTTATAATTAATAACATCATACCATGAATTGGCCCCGCGTAGTCTATATGAATGCGCTCCCATGGGGTTTTAGGGTATTCCCAGTAGTGGTCGGAGCATTTCGGCGGTAGTTTAGCATTTTTGGCACAGGACTCGCATGCTTTTCCTGTATTTTCGATGTCTTTATCTATTCCGGGCCAATACACAAAGGATCGAGCGATTCCTTTCATTTTTACTACACCTAGGTGTGCTCTGTGTAACTCATCAAGAATTGTTTGTCGTAATTTCGTGGGAATAACAATTCGGTGTTCAAACGTAAGGCAGCCATAAGAAAGGCCGTATATACATTCTGGGCTTTTATATCCATTCTTGGCCAAACACTGACCATTCTCGAGTAGTTGCAGAATCTTTCCTAAGTGTTGGTCCTTCCTTGTTTCTTGCGATATTCCCTTGGCTGTCACTGGAAGTTGCTTAATTTGTCGTATCATGAAATTGTCGAATTCATCAAGCGAAGAACTGTCTTCCACTTCCTTTATAACGCCCGCTTTGATTGGTAGTCGAGAAAGGTAGTCTGCATTACTGTTTTCTTTAGATTTTTTCGTTATTGAATCAAAATCAAAATTACTCATGAAGTCTGCATAATTAGCCATTCGAGAGATGCACAATGTTGGAAGTGATTTACCTGGGTGCAAAATTTGTGCGAGGGGTTTATTGTCCGTTATTAATGTCCAGTGCCTAGCGTATAAATATTTGAAGAATCTTTGGGTCGCCCATACGATGGCAAGTGCTTCTTTGTCGATTGGTGAGTATTTGAGTTCTGCTTGGCTTAACGTGCGGCTCGCATATGCAATTGGTCGTTCATTGCCGTTGGTTAGTCGATGAGATAGGACTGCGCCTATTCCTGTGCTGCTTGCATCTGTTGCTAGTAGTAGAGGTAGAGACGGATCATATGGCATCAGTACCTGTGGGGATATCAGAATTTGTTTAATTTGTTTGTATGCAGATTCTATTTCCTGAGACCAGTAGAATTTTCCTGTCTTCAAAACGTTGCGAAGCGGTCTTTCTAGTGTCGATAAGTTTGGAATGAAATTCGAATAGTATGTTGCTTTTCCCAAAAACAACTGTAACTGCTCTATTGTTGCTGGTCTGGGTGCATGTATTATGGCCTCAATGTGTTTGGTTGATTTGTGTATTCCTTGTGCGTCGATCTTGTGGCCCAGAAATTCTATAGATGATGCCGCAAATATACATTTTGATTTATTTAGTTTTAATCCGAAATTCTGCAGCTTTTCCAAAGTCTTCTCTAACGTTTTTAGCAATTCTTCCATATTTCCGGCGTATATCAATATGTCATCGAAAAAATTAAGTACATTTGGGATGTCCTGTAATACTGTTTCCATCGTTCTTTGCCAAATAGCTGGAATGTTTGCTGCACCATATACAGCGCGCGTTGGTCGAATGAGCCCGTGAGTGATTGTATTCAGTGTAAGGGTATGAGCGAACTCGTCGTCAATTCGTAAATGTGAATATGCATCAGTAATATCCAAGTGTGCGAATATTGTAGCTCCTTTCATCTGGTTGAATAAATCTTCAGCTCGTGGTATAGGATGTTCATCGATAATCATTTGGGGGTTTAATGTAGGTTTATAGTTGCCAGTTATTCGAATGCCCCCGGTCTTTTTGGTAACTACGTGTGTTGTTGAAGCCCATTCGGAATAATCTACCTTCTTATAGAATCCTGCAGAAATTTTCTTGTCGATCTCTTTTGCGTAGGCGTCACGCAATGCAAATGGTACATCTCTCGCTCGTGCAAAAATCGGTTTTGCCCCTGGTTTCAAGTGTACCTTAACTTCTGGCCCTTTGAATGTTCCTGCTGTAGTATTAAAAACCAAATTGTATTTAGTGAGAATTTGTTGAAGCTGACCTTTTTTGTCTTCTGGTAGTCCAGTTGCTTGTACTTTAATTGCCTTGATCGCGCTGCCGTTGGATGTAAACATATCTAGATCAATGGCGTCCTCAGTTCTATCTTCATCGAATAATTTCTCGAAGTTGATTTCCTTTGCAAATTGTGTGATCCACTCGCGTCCACACAGTGTATCCAGATTCCCCTCCACCACGTACAAATTAAGTTTCCGTGTGGTGTTTCCATATGTTACGTTAAGGGGCGCTCGTCCTATGCATGTAATTTTATGCCCTGTATAGCTGGAGAATTTGCGGTCGGTTTTCTGAAGACGCATTGAAGGTTTAATTGCTCGAAACGATTGCTTGTTTATAATACTGCACGGGGCACCTGTATCTAATTCCATTGGTAGTCGAAATCCTTCAATGTTCATTGTAATCATTTTTCTTGTTGCTGCCCTCATTGCATTGACTGAATTTGTAGGCTCTTCAAATTGCCATGCTGCTTGATTGTCAGAATCATCAGCTTCTGAAATTTGTTTGGTACTCGATCTACATACTTTGCTTATATGCCCGATCTTTCCACAATTAAAGCATTTCTCGTCTTTGAACTTACAGTTTCGTCGCAAATGCTGACCTCCACAGCTATAGCATCTTGTTACTTTCTTGCTGCTCTCCGATCGCTTTTTGATTGGGCTGTATCCCAATTTGCATGTTGGTTCGACCTCTGTTGTTGTCTTTTCGCTCACCGTGTTTGCAGACCTCAAAAGTAGTTCTCTGGAGTAGGCGGCTTCATATGCTTCTGCAAAAGTAGCTGGCTTTTTTGCGATCACCTCATCACATATACTGCGACCCTCCATGCCGAAAAGCATTTGTTCTGTAAGCATTCTGTCTAAGAACGAACCAAATTCGCAAAAGGATGCTGCTTGTTTTAAGCGAAGTACGAACGTTGCCAGTGGTTCCTCTGGCTCTTGTCGAAGTTGACGAAATTTGAAACTTTCTGCATACATGTTTCGTTTGCCATCAAAGTGATTAATTAGCACTTCTTTGATCTCCCTGTACTGTAATTCTTCGGGACACTTTGGACTGATCAGTATACGTAAGGCTGTATTCAATTCTGAGCCCATATGCACACGCGCGTAGTTGTGGTGCTCCTCCTCTGGCACCTTGCTGAGTTGTAGTGCCCACTCGAATCGACTGAAGTAATCTTTAACTGTAGAATCTTCCCCGCTCTTGTAGCTTGGCATTGCAAACTGCGGCGTCTTTGCAGTTCCTGGAATCCCTGCATTTTGGCTACCTTGTGCCACTGCTATGCGAATTGCATCAGCCAGCGACTCAATGATCCCGCTTAGATCATTATTTGAAGTCGATGTAGCCCTCTCTGAATTGGTAGAAGCCATTCCTTTTGACTTCTGACACCACTGTTATATCGTATATTTTATTCTTATTGAAAACTCAATTACATTTTTATGGTGAAAGAAGAAGAAGTAATAAACAGGGATGTATTTTCAAAATGATAACTATCGCAAACTAAAAACTATCGATTATTCATTAATGTGATTCCTTTAACTTAATACATAACAATAAGAGATAGAACATTCAACATGCAGATTTTGGGCGTCAATCTTAGAATTCTGCAAGTGCTGCGATTGAGACTACTGAACTGAAATTTACCTTCACAAGCTTAATGTCGTGTTCCCTATTCTAAGACCTGCATAAGGAAGAAGGGAAAAGTGTCATAGCAACCCTTTACTTTGTTCAATTTCATTTCAAAATAAAATCTATTTTAAATGCTTATCAATTTCAACATAAATAAGTAAATAGTTTAAGAGAACGATACATAAACCGATCATGTAGCTCATTCGGAAAGATAGGCTTAAGCGATATATGATTAAGATACGAAAGGAAGGGCACTTTAATTATAGCCCGATAGCTCCATATATGGTATGAAAAACTTAACAATTACGTTTCTTTTTCCCCCAGTCCATGTACACATACAGAATATAGTAATGCTAAGATTAATTTTCGTACAAGTATATGTGTACCAATAAATAATGTATATCGACATATCGAAATGTTTTTTTCAATTTGTGGTCCGCAACGTAGTTGTACGCAGATGTACCGCCGGCCATGAATTAAAATCTTTTCTGTTTAATATAAATTTATTTCTGTGCAGACATGTTTGCCGGCACATACAAACGGGAATGTCCGTATATCCAGAGCGGCATAAATATGCATATATTCCATTTTGTGTGAGTGTGTGTGTGTGTGACAATCAATTCGATTTCCATTTTTGCACAAAATTTATGCGCCGTGCAATTTTATTGAATTTGATTAGAAAGGCATCAAAGCCGCTGCTGCTGCTTCTGTGGCTGCTGCCTCAATGCTTCTATACTGCAATTTGCACACCGCCAGGTGGCAGAAATCATGTAAAGGTCGTTCATCGACAGAGGAGCCAAGGACCCGGACAACTCGAACTGCCTTTTAATATGCATTGGGGTTAGGCTTGGCAATGTCGACGGAGTTGAGTTTATCCCAGCGCTGCAACGTATTACTGAAAAAGTTTCCGCTTTTCTTGCACATTTACTTTATTTAAATTTGACTTTATTGCTTTGTTCTGCAATATAGATACATAGGTATAGATATTGGTTATTGGTATAAAATATCAATTAACATTCCCTTAAAATTGCTGTTTTCTAATATAACAAGAAGAAACGATATAGTCGAGTGCTGCGACTATATGATACCCGTTACTGTGTATCACAATTTCAAAATATTCATTGTGCTAGTGGAAATTGCCAAAGCCCCACCTATTGTCGGAGAAAGCATGTTGAGTAACTGATAGTAACGTCACTGCCCATATAAGGCCTTATAACTTAAATTTCTTCATAAATAGCGAAATATTGTTCCGATTTGAAAGTTCTTTGGTAAATCGATAGAGATTGACAGAAATAAGTATTATAAAGTCAAAAGATTTGTAATAATACTAAAGACGCCACAGTTTTCCGCGATTTGTGGGGGTTAGAGTAGGCGTGGCCAGATGAAAACTGGGGACAAGTTGCAGTGCCATCTTTTAAATAAGTATTCTTAAACACAACTTTTTAGCTCTTATCGTTCCCGAGATTTTCGCATTTTTTGTTTTTTTTTTTTGTTTTGTGGGCGTTAGAATGGGCGTGGCAGGATGCGCTACACATGGACCTCAAGAATCTTCATGCCTTATCTCAACTTCCAATCACTTATAGTTCCTGAGATCTGAGCGTTCATACGGACAGACTGACAGACGGACAGACGGACAGACGGACATGGCTCAATCGTCTTCGCTATTGATATTGATCAAGAATATATACTTTATAGGGTCAGAAACGTTTCCTTCTACCTGTTACATACTTTTCAACGAATCTAATATACCCTTTTACTATACGAGTAACGGGTATAAAAAGTCCGAATGGATGGTGAAATTGTAAATGAAATGACACGGAGGGTGCTTACTGCTGGTCGATGAATAATGGCATTGCTTTTGAAACTTGCAAAGTCTTCCCAAATAATCTGGTACAGCTGGCACGAGCCAGAAACTTTCATAATTCTCTATTGAAGCCAGTTGGTACTTTACGTCATCATCTGCGGTACCTTTAACGTCATTAATGCTTATGAAGTGAACATAGGTTGTTTTCAGCTGCTATGTGAAAAATAATTGATTCATGAAATCCGCCGACAATGCTGGATAACATTCCGATGATATGCTCCTTGCTCCAACCTAATTGCTGCACGAACTCTTTCTCCAGATATTGGTTTCCACATTCGCCGGTGGCAGCACTACTCTGCTGCAATATACCGCCGCCAGCTGCTGCAGCGAACTTATCTGCCACTTTCCACATTCTGATGGGAGTTTTTAGCCCTCTGCCACCCACCACGTCCCTACTCCGGAGCCGCCCCTATTCGGACGGTGCTCATGCAAAGCATATTGTTGCTCATTATCTTCACCGGGATTAACATGTTATCCTTAGCACGCGTGGGCGCTTCCCATTACGCTTGGTCCTTGCTTCTCCACTTGCTCTTTTCTCCCTTCTGTTTTCTCCTTTCTCCAGGTCTGTCTCAACGCTGTTTTCCCTGTTTTTCCCCACCTTAACAGCATTTTTTTTGATGTCGTTCGACTTGCTTCGTTTCTGCAGCGTGGTTCCTGTTGATTTTTGCATGTCGCTGGCTTTGGTTTTTCGTCAGTTTTCCCTGGGATTTCCTCGGTTCTCCTTGTTTTCCGCGTGTTTTTAGGTTTTTCGCGTATTTATTTTTGGATTCTTTTTCTCTCACTGCGCGCCAAGTACAAGACTCTTTCTTTTAGGAGCCTTGCAAGCGCCAAATGCGTAAGAAGAATTATTACCGCATTTTCTCTTTTTCGCCTTACGCTCCGGCAGATTTGCACGTTGCCTTTGGCTTGCTTAACCATCCGGTTATGGCGTGTACCTTCTCCGTAGTGGTCCCCATGCTATGGGATCTGGGGTTTGATGCTAGGATTGCCGTGGCCCTCCGGCTGGCGTATTGCTTACAAATTGTGCGTCGACTCGCCAGAAGCGGTATTTTCTGATGCAATTTCTGCCTTTGATGTCGCCCATACGCCGTGTTGCACGTGGCCCTCGAAGAAGTCTCTTCTTTTTATTTTCCTTTTTCTATGGAAGGAGGTTTATGAAATGCTATTATACGGCTCGGAATTCAATGGTTTATTATTAAGCAAGCATACATATTTATATAAATGAGGTAAAACAGCTTGGGCTTCTTTACTGTACTGCAGTCCCGATAATAGCTGTAAGGATTATCAAATATATCAGTAGGCCCATCAAACTGACTCATTCGAATTTAGAGAGTATCAACCTGTCGAGCAACGCGGAGCAGCTTTCTGGTCCTACTTGGTTATACCCGTTACTCGTAGAGTTAAAGTGTATATTAGATTCGTTGAAAAGTATGTAACAGGTAGAAGGAAGCGTTTCCGACTCTACAAAGTATGTATATTGAGCCATGTCCGTCTGTCTGTCTGTCCGTATGACCGCTGAGATCTCAGGAACTATAACAGATAGAAAATTGATGTGAAGGATGAAGCATCCTGCCACGCCCACTTTAACGCCCACAAAAAACGCCCACAAACCACTAAAATCGCTGAAATCTCAGGAGCTATTAGAGCTAGAAACTTGAAATTCAAAATGTATAATCTTTAGATAACAGCGCATTTTTATTGGTACTACTATCCGGCCACACTCACTCATACGCCCACAAGGCTCAATAGACGGTTTTCGCATTTTCTAGAAAAGCTGATATCTCAGTAACTATAAGAGATAGAATGTTCGGATTTTCGGAATTTTTTTTCCCATCTAGCCACGCCCACTCTTACGCCCACAAACCGCGAAAAACTGTGGCGTCTAAAATATTATTATAAATGCCTTCGTTTGACATTGTATAACTTATTTCTCTTTATATCTATCGAACCTTCAAATCGGAACCATATTTCGCTATTTAAGAAGAAATTTAGCTTATAAGGCCTCATATGGGCAGTGACGTTACTATCAGTTACTCAACATGCTTTCTCCGACAATAGGTGGCGTTTTGGGAATTTCCACCAGCACAATGAATATTTTGAAATTGCTTAAAACAGTAATGGGTATCGTATAGTCGCGGCACTCGACTATAGCGTTTTCTCTTGTTTTAATTCTTTTTTCTACGGGTTAAGCGGCCCTCGGCTTTTGACTTAACGTGTTTACCTTTGCCAGCAGACGCCCACCACTCCTCAATCCCTAGCTTTGTTTTTTTGACTTGAATTGTTCGCTCTAGCTGTTTTGTTTTTGCGAATTTTTTCTTGACAAAGAAAGCTGCTGCTGATACAATTGCAGAGGTAACAGCAAAATAATAAAACAGAGCACACCGAGAGCAGCACAAAAGCGAGTTGAACAGTACACACAGCGTTGGGATTGATTGAATTCCGAATTTTTAAGCATTTCGCCCCAGTCCAAAATTTCGTTAGTCAAACTGCAGGAGCCGGCGCACGGAACCGAAAACAGCTATAAAAAACAGAAAACACCTAGATGAGAAAACCAAGAAAATACGAGCGGGATATGTTTTGCAAAAACTTTTTTAAAGTACATTGAAATTTAACTTCAAGGCGAGCTTATATGTATTCACAGGACGAGTGAGAACGTAAAAATTAAGTAAAAATTTGCTAGCAGATTATGGTCTCATCATTCTGGTTAGTAAGTTATATTTGGTAAAGTTTTAAAATAAGCAAAAAACGAATGCTCTTGAAATTTGGCTTGGATGTGGGTACCTTTTTTAGAATGCTAGATCACTTATTAAACACCAAATAAATTCTTTAACTCATCGCATAAGAAGTCTTAGTATCCTAACAATTTCATTAAAGTACTCTAATGTTTGATTTATTTTAATAAAAATGACTTTTAGGGCTTAACTACACACCACATTGCTTGTGAAAGACTATGAACTTCAACCTAAGGAAATCCTTTAGATTCTCCATAGAAAGTCTCCGAATTAAGAAGCCAAGCGGGACCCGCCGAGGGCCTTAAATTTTGATCTATAATC